ATCTTTTCAGTAGAACATAGCAGTTAAAAACACACAGTTATAAACAAAGCTAGTGCTGTTACTCTTATTTTATTTACTTTATTTTATTTTATTTTGTTTCTTTTTTATTCTTCTTTACTATTTGTTTTCGTACACTACACTAGTTTTACCTTTTATTTATTTATTTATTTATTTATTAATTTATTTTTTTTCTATTTATAGATTCTTTTGTTGTTGTTCGGCTCGAGTCATTGTTTTATAGGTCGGTGACCTTTGATGACTCTCACTTTTCGTGAATAATAATTCATTCATTCATTCATTCATTCATACTAATTTAATTTAAAGGAATACCTAAATTTCTTGGTCAAATGAAGGCATGTATCAATTCTTCCCTTATGAATCTCTACTATTATGCAAACCTGCATATTAGGAGTTATAACACAGATGGAGCTCCTTCATGTTAGACTGATGCAAAATGGTGGAGACTCTAATTTGAATCTTTAGTAGAAAATCCAAGTTAACAATCTTGCCTCACTCATGCCGTGATCGCACTTGTAGTGATAAATCCACTAACTCACGACGCGATCGCTAAGAAATCTTGATATCGCTTCGTGATCGTGATATACTCTCATTATTAAAAGCAAGAGTTTTGCATGATCATGGAGAGACAATTTGTCTTATTACGATCGCACGCGAGTCATATAACTCGCAACACGACTCGCTACCGCGACTTGCGATCAGACGTGTTAGCCACGCCGCCCCCATATATGGAATTTGTTTTTGAAGTTTTTCGCCGCCGCCGCTGATTCGAAGGTTTTTCAAAACTTCTTTGAAGAAAAGTTATTGAAAAGTATAATTTCTTTTAAAATTTTCACACCGCCAAAGGCAGAAAATTTGTTTTTAGTTTTTCGATGCCGCCGCCGATAAAGTAATCGGCTAACACCTCTATTTGCGATACGACAGTTTTCAACGACAGATTTTAAAGTCATGATGCGATCGCGCTTTGCTCTTATACTCGCGGCATGATTCTTAAACAAGGCTTATGACGCGGTCGAGACATTTCTCATTCAAGTTAATCGACGGTAACTTATTACACCGCGGTGTAAGAAAATACCGGACGGTAACCGTTTTTATCCATTCACCATTCTATTTTGCACCGATGAAGATATAATATAAAAGAAACACAGAAAATTTGAGAAACTTGATTTCTTCTTCAGATTAAACTTTTTCTTTAGATCACATAGACTCGTCCAAGTTTGAACTTTGTGACTCGAGTCAAATTTTGTCGGTATTAAGCATATGGGTTTTTCGTTTTAGTTTGATTTTTTAAATATTTGTTTCTAATTAATTCGTTTTAGCGAGAGAAAAGGAATAAAGAGCATGTGTTTTTGTGTGAATATAGTCTATATTACATGCAGGTTGCGCGTGGTGTTAGATTTCGTTTTTTTCTTTTGACATATCGCGATTAATATCAAAACAGATCATTCCTTATTCTTTCTACCGTAGAATGAGCCTTTTACGTGCGTTTTTTTATACAGACTTTATTATTGCTTATTTCTAATTTATCATTCAATCAAATAAATAACTCGTACACAGTAATTTCTAAGCGAGCGTGAGAAATATTGAACTCTTCATTGTTTTGTTCTCTGGAGGTTAAACTGCCTGATTCTCTCTTAAAATTACTTTCACAATATAAACGATCCTCTGCTAATCAACTGGAATCAAACATCTGATGAAACGAAAATGGAATAACGCTAGAATGCAGTATTCGCGGTGGAGTCGACTAATGCGCGATCGCGACGCGACTTCAAGAGAATTAAAGGATCATGGCGCGTTTTCGTGAGAAAAGCATAATCGCGATATGACATCCGCGGCCCCAATAGGACAAGAATAGCGAAGAAAACATTGCGGTATGATAATCGCGAATCAGAGCGATCATTCTTGGATTGCGACACTTATTTAACATCATAACCGTGATCGTGGTACGCTCACTTGCCGTGACTTTTTGCTGTCATTCGCAGGGCGAATGATGCAGCGCGAAAAATTTTCTCCATGGTTTTGCAAAATAATTTTTTCACGAAATTCCTGGACAGGACCAAGGGCTGAATGAGACTGAGAAATTTTTCTAGAGTACTCCGATTCTAAACTCGTTGCGTACAAGGTAATCGATTATAGAGAGTCCAAATCTGCAGTCGGTTTTGGCCGACAGGCTTTTAAAATTTCTCTACTGAATTGATATGCTATTTGGTACTTGCCCTACTCATCCTAGATTGCCCAATATTAGCTAATGAATCTATCTAACACGGTTTAAGAAAGTTTCTATTCACTCGCTTATAAATACAGTCCCTTCGCTTTATATTAAAGAATATGTTAAACTATACATCTCTCTCGAAAAACTGAGTATGTATTAAGTGTACCCGTGGCCTCGATTTTTTGTAGATTACGGCGTAGCGCGACGTAAACCTCCACCCATAATAGAACACCATCCCCTATTAGAAGACCATTGCTGGTCATTTTTTCCTGAGGTTTGCTCCATGGTTTTTGGTCAAGTAATTGCTCGCTAAAATAGAAGACGATGGTTATCTTCTATTATAGGCGGGGAAGGCGGAGTAGTAGACTCATTACGGCGTAAATGAAAAGTCCACCATTTTCGTAATTTTTCATAATTACACCGTAATAAAATGGTAATCTCGCTAGAAATGGCGACCGTAGCTACGATGGTAATTACGCGTCATTACGCCGTAATTTAATCGTAATTTAAGTATGGGTAAAAATTGCGCCTCAGATCAGACGTAACAGTCTAATATTTTCCCCTCTACATCGGATACTAATAACACGGGTTATTCATGTGATAAATTTAGCGTCTCCCACGTTTGTGAAACGTATATCAGTTTTCCGTGGTATCGTTGCATTGCCGCGCATTGAAGCATCAAATACTCCATGGATTTCCACACATTATATAACGTGTAAGAAAATAACGGTTAACATAACAGTCTAGTACGCGAATCCACTCAGAGTAGATTATTACTGTACGTAGTACTCCGGCACTTGCTTTTTTAACGAATGACTATGTAAAGCAACTACGACAGTTTCTTCAAAGATTTCCACTTAGCTTAAGGAACTGTTAAGGACTCTCTGAAAGCATTAACGCAAGGAATACTTTGAATTTATTTACGTTTTATTGAACTAAATGAAACAGTTTTATTTTTAAACGTGTTTGAATTCAATTTCTACTTTTGAAGAAGTTCAAACGTAACACTCTCAATTCTCTATTTTTCAAAAAAAGAATTTACGAATTTTTCAACTAAGTAGCACTCAGCTTTCATAGTACCAATGTAGAGTGAAGAAGATATCACTCTTTCTAAAAGTATAATATTCTCGAATTCAAGGCAAAATGCTATTTAAGGAAGATGTTTTCGCTGAGAATATTATTATCAAGCACATTGTTTCACTATACATTTTATCTTTAGGTAAAGCAGTCACTTAATGCACTTTTGAAACGATATTTGTCCTTGCTGTACTATGACTGAAGAGAAAGCTACCAGTTGGTCTACAATTTGTAAAATATGAAGTGTTGTTATCTTTGACTAATAATCACAAGGTAATCTGGAAAAAGAATATACCAAAGGTAGACGCCTACTACGGTGATGAGTGCCTTCATTTTCTCTCAAAACTTTCAAACATCTTTTGGAAGCAGAAGACTACATTTCAGAATAATACGCAGGTGCATTTAATCAAAAGCACATTGTCGAATATGGTACATTCTTGTGAATCGGACATTTAAAGAGTGAAGAAAACAAATGCCCCCCTCTCTCTTGATTGTCGATTTTATTCACTGTAGCAGCAGTTATAAATATGAATTATATTAGACGATAAGCTATACATAAATAAATATAAAAATAGCTATGGCTTAGTATTAATCACAATACAATATACAATATGAAATTTAGTCGTCGTATTGTGATTATCGGTTGCGGTAGTGTAGCTCAATGTGCACTTCCATTATTACTCGAATTGGTTGATATCGCTCCTAGTTCAATAACTATTATTGATTTTACTGATCAACGTTCAAAAATTCAATGTTTTCTTGATCAAGGAGTGAACTATAACCAAATTCGTATTACCAAACACAATTATACCGATGTTCTTGAAACTCACTTATCAACTGGTGATATGCTCATTGATTTAGCATGGTATCTAGACACGGCGTCATTGTTAGATTGGTGCCATTATCACAGCATTTTATTTATCAACACCTCCGTAGAATTGTGGGAACTACAGAAAAAAGTTCCCTCGTGTACAGATCCAAGAACTCTAACACTTTATCATCGACAACTGATATTGAAGCAAGTAACTGATCAGTGGAAAGATAAGAACGGTCCAACAGCAATTGTTGATCATGGAGCGAATCCCGGTTTAATTTCACATTTTGTCAAACAAGCACTGACTGATATTGCCAAGCAAGTTTTATCACAATCTATAATCAATGACTCACAGCGCAAAAGTGCTTTAGAACAAGCTTTGAAAAATTTGGATTATGCAAAACTGGCCTATCATCTACATGTTAAAACAATTCATGTTTCAGAGAGAGATACACAACTCACCGATAAACCTAAAAAAGTCAACGAATTTATAAATACATGGAGTATTGAAGGATTAATCGAAGAGTCTATTGCACCGAGTGAACTTGGCTTTGGAACACATGAATTTTTAATACCAGATGGGACTTTGCGTCATAAACAAGGATCTGGTAATCAGATTTGCCTATCAGAAAAAGGAATGAATACATGGGTCAGATCGTGGGTACCGAGTGGAGAAATTATTGGCATGGTGATTCGTCATGGAGAAGCGTACAGTATTTCAAACTATTTGACCGTTTATCAAGGTGATAATCTCATTTATCGCCCAACAGTGCATTATGCTTATTTACCGACTGATGCCACCATGAATTCTCTTCATGAATTTAAAATGTGTGGTTACAAATTACAATCGAAACAACGCATTTTGTCCAATGACATTATCAAAGGTGAGGATGAATTAGGCTGTCTTCTGATGGGACATGATTTGAAAGCATGGTGGACGGGAAGTGTGTTAGAAATTGAAGAATCACGAAAATTAGTTCCTGGTCAAAATGCAACAACTGTACAAGTAGCTATTGGTGTAGTTAGTGCCGCTTTGTATGCCATTCGACATCCTCAATTGGGATTTTGTCTTCCAGATTATTTAAACAGCGAAGAAATATTACAAATTGCCAAGCCCTATCTGGGGCAATATATTTCACGAGTCGTCAATTGGTCTCCACTTGATAAAGCAGACGCATTCGAAGTTCCTTCTATACCAGAGAATGAATGGCAGTTCATGACATTCAAAATATAAAGCTTGAGATGTTGCATTGTTCATGAATTAATAATTTATAATTTACGCTACTTTATTTCCATTTCATTACGTTTTTGCTATTGTTTTTTAAAGCCATCAAGCAGTAAAGAATTTAGAGAGATTAGAGACCTTGACTAATTTTTATTTATTTTTTAGTCATTAATTTAACGTCTAAACTTTATTGGACTCCTCGAATTGATAATTTACTATTAGCTATCAGAAATATTATTGGTTCAATAGAATTTCTTAGTTAATCTTTATCTTTCAACGCTCTTTCTTTCCCATAATGTGTATGTGTCAAATATTCTCTTTTTATATTCTAAATAAATACTTTTTCTTCGTACTAACTTTATTTATTCTAAACGTTTCGATTGATAGGTCAATCTTTCTCAGTGGATACAAATATTAATTAAATTAATTAAAATTACATAAACAAAACAAATTGAACAGAAAAAACTTTTTAACATAGGGACCTTTTTCCCTTTTTGTTATTATAATATATCACCGTCTCATTTCTGTATGTCTTGTGGAGTGTCGGAATATCAATACGCAGGGTATTTCGAAAACCGCAGCAGTTCCTGAAATATGCGCCTGTGCTTGTAGGGCTTGTTGTATTCTATTGTTTTCTCGACCAGATACACTTCTCTACAGATATCTATAAACATGCTGGGCTTCAGATGAGGCAATGAAATATCTCGAAGCTCATTCTCATACTACGCCCCCATTTGAAAGCCAAGCTTTTCTCAGTTTCCAGCTTTTCAGCATGAATGTTCATTGAAGAAGTAAGAAAACCGGAAAACTCATGCTTTTCTGACTTTCTGATTTTCTGCCTTCGGAGAAAAGTATCCGAATTTCTGTATGTAATTTCTATTAGCCTTTATAAAAAGCATTCGTTTGAACATTTCTGAAATGATGGGCTTTAGGGGGCTCTAGGGGCTTTAGAAAAGAGCGTAGCAAGTTACTGAATGTTTTCTAGATTTGTGTTGTAATTCTCAAGCAAATATACAGTGGCGCCAAAAATTATTTCTACACACATTTCATAACTCGGTAACGCAAAAAGCTTATGACATGCGGTTTGCCCCAAAATATTCACCGCTCTCTCTAGTATATTTGTAGATAAAAAAAGTTAGAAATATTCATTGTTGCTCTTTCTAGGTCCACTCGCACGAAAAGTGAACGTTTTCCAGTCGGTAAAAACTCAAGAGGTTTTACTGTACAATGTTGATAGGCGTTCATTCGTCCTAGTCGCTATTGCTACGGTTGCTTCAACATTTGATACTATGTCGGAGTGATACTCTGAGCGTCGTAGTCTTGCTTCATCGGCCAAGTATTGATGCCAATCTGTGGTTCTCGGAGAATATTCGAAAATAATACATAAGATTTGGACTAATTTTAAAAAATCGTTCCTCTCTGGCTGTATTATATTTCATAAAATTATTCTCCCGTTGTTGCATCAAAGCCAAATCATGTATAGTGAGCTTATGTGCCTAGTTAATGTATCCTTGTTTTGATCTATTTTTCTTTTGCATATAGCTCCCATCCCACCGGCGAATAGAAGGGCATGGCTTCTAATCCGACTTTGAATTAAAAATTTTCTAAAAGTTTTCGAAACTCGTAAAAGCTTAAAATAATGATTTCTTTCGTTCCACCACGGTTAACTAATTGGTGTTCTACTGCACTCAACAAAAGAGAAACTGGGTTTTATATATTGGTTGCTATTGAATTGTTCCTCTTCCCTCCACTTCCGGCACTTCTTGTTCATCAACATCAACATCAATTATGAGGGTCAAAAGCTAAACTATTAATTGCGTTAGAAAATGAAATTATAACACAGCTAGAGGTGAGACACAATGAGACTGGCAGTACTACTACTCGTTGTACGAGCGATACTGCGACAGTATTCAAGACTCAGTATCAAGTCCCGTTTTAAATTCAGCTGATTAATAAGGGCCCTGAATTTTTACTGATTTATCAATTGCTACAGTTCTATCAGACAAGCAAACTAAAAGCTTTATTAGAAGACTGAGCATAGGTCTCTTTCGATATTCTT